GCCTTGTTGCAGGTACATCGAAGACGAAGCTGGAGCTATGGCACCACAGGTAAGTCTCCCTGGCCTCCGCCAACCATCGCTCTCTCTCTCTCTCTCTCCAACGCTACTCTAGCTCCTACTAGCGCCCAACGCTGAAGACTACTGCTAACACTACTACTACTCCTACCTCCTGCCTCCTGCACGTGAAGTGTCTGGGAAGTTCCTAGGAACTGCCTCGTGACTGCCTGCAGCCTGTAGTCCGGGCCAGTCTTATATAGTGCTGGCCCGTCCAGGAGGCTGCTCTTGCCAATGTCAAAACGTGCCAGAGCCTGGTGTTGAAGTTCAAACAAAGGTTGTCTTGAAAACAGGCCAAAAATGGCCTGTGCTAAAACCCTGGTCTGGTGCCTAAGTTTCAGGGCAGGTCGATCTTATGAGGGCCTGAAAATGGCCCTCCGTTTCAGGTTGAAAAGACTCAGGGCCTGGAGGGCCCTGTTTTAGGCTGAAACGACACAGGGCCTGTAGGCCCTTGTTTTCAGGCTTTCAGGCTGAAACGGCACAGGGCCTGTAGGCCCTCGTTTTCAGGCTTTTAGGCTGAAACGAAATAGGCCCTACACCTACTGACCCTTAGTCTACCTTGTCGGGCTCTGCTGGGCCCCTGTGGTACAGAGTATGCCACACTCCCCCCTCCTTAAAGACCGAGCTTACCTGCGAGGGCGAAGCTGTCGGTTGGAGGGAGGGACTGAAGTCCGGGTGGGAGGCTGTGCAGCTTCCGTGGCTAGCCGTTTTTTCTCATAATCAACGTAGATCTCTGGTGCTGAGGCTTGCAAAGCTGCCCGGGAAATCCATCACGTGTCGTCGCGGTCGCACCTTTTGAATGTGACTTTGTATTGCATTGGCTTGTTGTCATGCTTGCGATGCATGATGACGTGGTCGACTTCCTGATGACCATCCATGGAAGGAGGGTCCTGCGATCGTCCGCCCGGGAAGTCGTCGCTCTTGGCTGGTGTATATGTGGCCAGCTTGGAGGCATGGAAAACCGGGTGCACCGTGAGATGAGGCGGGATTTCGATCACAAATGAGGGGCCATCGGGCTCATCGCCTGCGGCTGCTGTGACGGGACATGGTCCAAACCACTTTGGAAGTAGTTTGTCGGATACTTCTTGTTCAAGCGCAAACTCCTCCATGGAGACCCAAACAAGGTCGCCGGCGCGGATAGGGCATGGCACGCGACGCCTGTTAGCTTGTTGTTGCATGCGGACTTGAGCCTTTTGCATGTTGGCGCAGGCTTTAGCCAGCAAGTTCCTATACTTCCGAACGGAGGCGGGAGAACAGGCGGCATCAATGTCGGCAATCCTTGGAAATGGAAGATCAGCGAAGATACAACCTTTCCTACCACCGTGGTGTAACTCGAATGGAGTCACGCCGATCGTCGGGTGCAACGAAGTGTTGTAGGCGAATTCAATGTCGGGGAGGCGGTCCACCCAATCCTTTTGATCCGTACGGATGAGTATGCGAAGCAGTACTTGAGCGGTTTGATGTGCCCGCTCCGTCTGCCCGTCCGTTTGTGGATGTCGAGCCGAACTTGGTTTCATCTTGGTGTCGGACTCTTTCATGAGGGAGGTTCAAAATCCCGACATAAAACGAGTGTCGCGGTCGCTGACGATGTCTAACGGAACGTCGTGGCCGCAAATCCAGCCGGTGTGTAAAAGGCGTGCAAGTTCAGGAGCCGTGGCGTAGAACTTGCAAGGAAGAAATCGTGCGTACTTGCTCAATCGGTCAACGACCGTGAGAATGTCGTCGTGCCCGAAGCGGTTACAGGGGAATGGGCCGGTGACGTCCATAGCAATGGAGAGGCCGGGTTCCCGCGGAATAAGCAACGGGCGTAACTCGCCATAGGGGTTGCGATTGCGGGGTTTGCTTCATCGGCAAACTTCGCAAGAGTCTCAATATCAAGTGACGTCGTCACGTCGGTAATGAGGTCGGGCCACCGGAATCGTTGCCGAAGTCTTGCGATCGTACAGTTAACTCCGAAGTGGCCGGCGAGTCTCGAGTCGTGGTACTCGCCGAGGAGGCGAGTCCGTAAGCGACGGTTGTGTGGGACGCATAGTGAGTCCTTGCCTTGTGAGTGAAGAAGCAAGTAGCCGTCGACGACGCGATAGTGGCTGGCCGGTGGGTGATCCGAGGATAGTTCCTCGTAGAGTGTGGCGTATTCCGGATCGGACTTGTATGCTCATACAAAATGCTGATGAAGGGCGTCGTCAAAACTGAACGCGTGGTGAGTCAATGCGCAAAGATCTGATCTTCGCGAAAGAGCATCCGCGGCTCGGTTGGAGAGGCCCGAAATGTGTTTCGGTGTGAATTCGAACTGATCGATGAAGTACATCCATCGCGCAGTCGTGCTGCTCACCGTGTCTTCGGTCTTGTAGTAGGTCAATGGGTTATTATCCGTTGCCCAAGTGAACCTACGACGCCCGAGGAGGAAGTGTCGCCAACGCTTGAGTACCGTGACGAATGTAAGCAATTCCTTCTTCCGCGCATCATCAACCCAGTTGATGGGAGGCACCTTTTGGCTGAACTACTCAACCAGATGCCAGTCTACCTACGAATCCCCCTCGACGGCGGACAAGCGCGGCCGAGTCCGCGACCCCGCGGACGCGTCCGCGCGACCGCGCGACTTCGCGGATGCGCGGCGGCCGATGGGGAGGGCGGTTGGGAATTCGGGAAGCGCCATGGGGTGGCGCATCCCCAGCCCC